CCTTCTTGAAGAGGAGGTAAAGTTGTATTCTGTTCTGTTAAATTTAGTCAAGTATTTATTGAGCTGCTTCTTTATGTAGATACTTTGTGTAGATACTGCTAGGCTGTACAATTATATGTACACAATATACTCAACAAATTTGTGTATAAATAAGTGAATGAATGATGTCATCCTTGTACTCATTCACTAATATATTGAGCACTTATTGTATACTAGACGCCAACTATTCTAGTTGGTAAGAATACAGTGGTGAGCCCTATAGAAATTATCTCCACTTCTATGGAGTGTAGATATTAGTGAAAGACATTACAACAAATAAACATATAAATATATAATTACAAATTGGGTTAATTGCATGAAGAAAAATAACAGCTCCTATGATATAACAACCATAGGGGTGGGATCAATTTTTATTTTATTTCTTTTAAGATTTATTTATTTAGAGAGAGAGAGAGTGTGTGAGCAAGTGGGGGGAGGGGCAGAGGGAGAGGGATTGAATCTCAAGCAGACTCCCCACTGATCATGGAGCCGGATGCGGGGCTCGATTCTACAACCCATGAGATCATGACCTGAGCCAAAATCATGAGTCTGATGCTCAATGGACTGAGCCACGCAGGTGCCGGGGGTGGGATCAATTTAGATGGTGTGCTCTGGGAGGAACTTCAAGTCCAAGAAGGATGAATAGGATAAGCCAGGTCAGAATTGGAGCATGGTGGAGATAGGGTTGGGTTGGAGCATTGCAAGTGAGGAAGACAGAATTTATTTGTCAGATTGGGAGTTGGAGGACTGGGAGTAGGTTGGTATCTTTTGGATCTGAAATAACACTAGTGTGGCTAAAGTGCAAAGAGGGAGGAGTAGAGTTGCACAAGAAGTAGAGAAGTTGGCAGGGCTTCTTGAATATCCTGATTCAAGTTCCCAAATTCTCAAGTTTCATTAAGTCTTAGAAGAAAAAATAGAGATTGATTTGTGACTTGAAAAAGTGTGGGGGAAAAGTTGATGAATTAGCACATAATTGGTTTATCTATAACATAGGGAAGTTGGGTGTTGTGTTGGGAAAGAATGTGGGCTTTGGAGTTAGAACTAAGTTTGACCCTGCTCTGCTTCTTAGTGGTGGTTGTGGCCCTGGTAAGCTCTTAAACATCCCTGAGCCTCTGTTTCATTATCTGTAAATGGAGATAATGGTGCCCTTTTACTGTGAGAATGAAATTAAATAAAATACATACATAAAGCACTTAGCAGAGGACCTGGTTCAGACTAAATGGTCAGTAAACTATACCTGCTGCTGTTCCTCCTCCTCCTCCTCCTCAAGGCAGAAGGACAACAGCCAGATTGTATATAAAATATGAGCTAAATGAACCTAATGGACAGGCTAGTGCATGCACAGACTGGCATGCTTGTAGTGACTTTAGAGTGTTTCATATGAGGAGTTCTCAGTGAAAGGGTGGGAGTCTTTGAGTTTGTCCCCATGATAGTTGAAAGCCAGAAGTCTTTTGATGATGGAAGGCTTGTATGTACTGTTGGAAAACTGGCTTTGCATTTCAAAGAAAGACAATAGCATAAGCCTAAATTCACTATGAAAAGCCATAATATTATAGAGTACTTGATGGCCTTTTCAGAGAATATCACATAATTAAAGTAAAGGCTTTGGAAGAAAGATTCTCTGAAAATGCTGACATATAATCTTAAAAACACAGGCTTCCCTTTATTTCATAAATAATTCTCTAGTTAACTAAGTGCAAGCAAGAGAAACTGAGATAAACTGTCGTGTATGTGTCTGTGGTTCACTTTATTATTACTATGGAAATACAGCAAAATTTTACCATAACACAAAATATTGAAGTCCAAAAGTCATATTTTTGGAGGATAACGAAACAACTCCTAGGTAGCTACTTGGGTGTTCTGAGTATGTGGAAAGCAATCACCAATTGTGTTTTATCCCAACTCAGGTTACTGGGGAGTATATTTGAATGCTAGTGACATGTCAAAGAATTTTTAAAATGATAGTGAAGATTTTTTGGAAAGTGAAAATTGCTTGGGAAGAACATTCGTTGCCTTTGATTTAGTTATTAATTTCATGGAAAAATGCAGTATATATCACTAAACTTTTTTTACTATGATTCATAAGAGATACATTTTATTTATTTTTATTTTTTTTAAAGATTTTATTTATTTGAGAGAGAGAATGAGAAAGAGCACGAGAGGGAAGAGGGTCAGAGGGAGAAGCAGACTCCCTGCTGAGCAGGGAGCCCGATGCGGGACTCGATCCCGGGACTCCAGGATCATGACCTGAGCCGAAGGCAGTCGCTTAACCAACTGAACCACCCAGGCGCCCCATTTTATTTATTTTTAAAGATTTTATTTATTTGTCAGAGAGCGTGCACAAGTAGGGGGAGCTGCAGGCAGAGGGAGAACCAGGCTCCCTATAAGCAAGGAGCCCAACACAGAACTCGATCCCAGGACCCATGGGACTCGATCCCAAGACCCCAACTGAGCCACCCAGGCATCCCAAGAGATACATTTTAGTTTGTTAATATTACCTATATACAAATAGGAAACTGAAAAGTTTTATGAAACAATATACATTTCCAATATTTTCTATTTCAATTTTTAAGAAAATGCTTTATGTAGTTTACACTAATTTTATGACCTAATAGGTCACAAGTTGCAGTTTGAAAAACACTGCATCAAATGACTGTATTAGGTGAACTTCAAAAAGGAATTCCAGGTTATTCCAGAAGCTATAAAACCACAATTTTCCTAGTAGTATATTCCACACCATTAATAATAGGTGATTAATAGGTGCCAACCCCATATTATCTGGCTGCATTGGATGGTCTTTTAAGAAAGAAATAGAGAAAGAGAGAAAGAAATGAGGAGGCAGGGAGGGAGGGATGCATGAACTCTCACTGAACAATACATAAGAATTTAATAATACGAGTTGGGGTGCCTGGCTGGCTTGGTCAGTGGAGTATACATATGGCTTAATTTTTGGGTTGTAGGTTCAAGTTCCACGTTGGGTGTGGAGATTACTTAAAAAAAAAAAAAAATCTTAAAAAAAATAACATGAGTTGCTTGAGGGACAGAGAATTGGGTATCTTTAGGTGGAGGTAGTGAAAAGACCCTTTATTTCATTTTTCATTGTTTTAAAATTTGAACCATGTGAATATATTCTATATATTAAATTTAAAATAAAAAATTCTGCTTCTACATTATTAGAGAAGAAAGAGGGGAGGGGGCTCCAGTTTGGATCTGGGTTTATTCAGTAAGGATTGCTGTGATAGATTAGCAGTGTCTTTCACAGGAGTGGGAGATAATAACCTTTATGCTCTGTTTGCTGCCCCTGATCTAGATGAGCTACATTGACAGTTCTATAAAAGAATGTTTAGATGATTCACTAAGAAGGGTTAATTTGTGTCCCATTCTCCACTTCTTGTAGGGGTTATACACTTCAGAAATTTTTTTTTCTAGAGAACATGGCTAATTTGAACATTTCAGTGCTTAAAAGAAGTTTAAAAATTTTTTTAACTTGTTATTTAGAAATAATTTCAAACTTAGAGAAAAATTGTATAAATAAGAAAGGTATACATAATACCTATTCCCAGATTCACCTTTTGTTAACATTTTACCCCATTTAGTTTATCATTTTAATCTGCCTACCTGTCTATCTGATTTATTTTTGTCTGAGTCATTTGAGAGAAACTTAAAATACCATGCCCCTTCATTCCTCACTACTTAGAAGTGTATTTTCTAAGATTAAGGATTTTCTCTTAACTATGGTACAGTTATCAGCTCTAGAAATACCGATATCCTACTTTAATCTACCGCCTTTTTTACATTTTTGTCAGTTGCTCCAGGGATGTCATTTATAGCATTGTCCCTCTCTGTGGCACAGGATCCAGACTGGGGTTAGGTATTGGCATTTAGTTTTGTCTCTTTAGCTTCCTTTGATCAGAAACATTCACACAGCCTTTATTGAGATTTTTAAAGAATATAGCCCCCCCTTTTTAAAATAGAATGTTGATCATTTCGATGTTCTTTCATGATTAGATACAGATTATGCATTCTTAGCTAGAATACTTTATAGCTGTTATGTCTTTCTGAGGATATCACAACTGAAGGCACAGGAAGTCCATCTACCCCTCATTAGTAATGTTAGAGTGCTCAGTCAAGATGTTTTCTAGTTTCTGCTGTGTAATATTTTCCCCTTGCAACAAATAAGACATTTTAAAACCATGCAAAATTTCCTGCTTCTCATCAAAAGTTCCACGTGGATTCACCATTCATTGATTGTCCTTGCTTGATCCAGTCTTTACTACGTTGGTGGCAAAATGCCGATTTTTCCAGTTCTAGCACTACCTACACATTTACCAGTTGGTACTCAGCATTCTGCTGTATGCAACAGTTCTTTCTACCCCATTTATTTTATTTGTTGTTGTTATAAACTCCTAAATTACTCTTATTTCACCAGTGGTTCATAATTCATTATTATGTGAAGTAGAGGATTTGATTCTGGAATCAGTGGATGACATCAGGAGGTCAGTGACCAACCTGAAATTGTGTGCCAGGTTTTGTGTTTGGACAGTTTTCTGAGGAGAGTGTCCATAACTTTAATCAGAATCTCTATAAAGAGTTCTTGATTCAAAGAAGATTAAGTTCCACTAGGTTGAATAGTTAAATGTTAAGCTATATGTAACCCTTACGTATTTGTATATTCTTTTCCCTGCTTTCTACCCCAAGTGATAAGTAACTGAAGTGTTAGAATTATAGTATGTGTCCTTCTGTAGGTACATTCCATTATTTTGTCTACTGTTTTTAACTGCAACTGAAAGTAATATTATATTTTGGTTTCTTTAATTTTTTTTGCTGGAATATATAATAAATGTTAATATCTTCATTGCCACTGTAGCAGCAGTTTATGGTAGCATAGAACCAGTCTTTTGAAGCAATGAATTACCTTGATTTAATTTGAAATTTTAAAACCAATGTTTTTTACACTGTAGTTTTATTAGTTCTCTGGGAGTGAGCTACATGATGTTGTGCACTGAAAATTACCCGAATGTTCTGGCCTTCTCTTTCCTGGATGAGCTTCAGAAGGAGTTCATTACTACTTATAACATGATGAAGACAAATACTGCTGTCAGACCATACTGTTTCATTGAATTTGGTAAGGGTCTGATTTTTTTTTCCTTTTCATTATCCTGTCTGCATCCAGTCATAAGCAATTTTTCATGTAATACTGAGGGCTGGGGGAAAAACTCAGAAAATTCTGCTACCTTGGTTTTGATAGAATAAATTGACAGGTGGTCTATAAATTATGGCAACTTCTTCATTTGGGTGCCTGTTTGAAAAAAAAAATGTGTTTGGGCTGCGGAGGGGTTCATGATTATTGGCACAAAGAATTAATCCCAGAGGACAATTTCTCAATGAGAAATTTATAAGCCAGAGATTCAGAGTTCTGTGTTTATGTGATAATCTTTTATAGTCTGCTTAATGTAGAGTGGAGGTTGGCAAACATTTGTTGGAAAGTACCAGATAGTACATATTTTAAGCCCTAAGGACCATATGGTCGCTGTCACAACTACCCAGCCCTGCCATTGTGGCTTGAAAGCAGCCATAGGCAATACATAAATGAATGAGTATAGTTATATTCCAATAAAACTTTATTTACATAAGCAATCAGCCGGCTCAGTTTGGCCTCTGGGCATTAGTTTGCTTGACTCCTGGTGTAGGAGGAGAAAAAAGTAAAACCAAGTTGTAAGTAATGAAAGTAAAATTGGAAGATATTTAGAAAATGTCTTTTATTGATTTCATTAAATTTGTTGTTTAAAACACACATTCTAATGGTGTAAGCAATAAATAAAACAGGTTTATAAGAATATGCAATTTACAGTATATGTTCTTATGTGATTACAATTGGTAAATACTGACAGACTTAATATTTTATGAGAGATGAATCCCTATAAAAATTAAGACTTTGGTTTAAAATTAAAGAAAGCTGTTTTTGTTTTTTGTAAAAATTTAAAGTAATTCCTTGAAGTGAATATAATAGTAGAAATAGTCTCACAGTCATGTAGTGTTAAATCCTTATTTATAATTATTTCTAGAATATAATTTCTAGAGTGAAACACTGATGACTCCATGATGTATTAACTATTAAACACAAATAATATTTGAATATTCAATGACAAATTGAATAGTTTTGGACAACAAATTAAAGTGTTGATCTGCAGAATTTATTCCATAAATGTCACACTCTCAAATTATTTAATTAACAAATGACTGCAAGGAAATTTATTTTTTATTTTACATAGATAACTTCATTCAGAGGACCAAGCAGCGATATAATAATCCCAGGTCTCTTTCAACAAAGATAAATCTGTCTGACATGCAGATGGAAATCAAGCTGAGGCCCCCTTATCAAATTTCCATGTGTGAACTGGGGTCGGCCAATGGAGTCACATCTGCATTTTCTGTTGACTATAAAGGTGCTGGTAAGATTTCTTCTGGTGAGTTATGGATCTCAATTATTTCATTAAAAAAACTCTTAAGAACTGAGTAATTCTTGTAAATTAATTAATATTTTAATGCAAGTACATGAGAGAATACAGAAATTTAAAGTAATTCTCCCAGTGGTTTATAGAGTAATCTACCAGATATGTGACTAATCAGGAAAATACTTTTAAATAGCAGTCTCAGAGAAACTCTTTGCTAGGGAAACATTTAAGAATTTTTCTTAATTGTTTCCTACATATTTCTTCATGATTTGTTTTCAAGAGGTGAATAATAGTTTATTTAAAATATATATTTATGTACATGTAAAGTGCTTTGCATTATGTCAGAATGGTTACATTCAAGGCCGGGTTTCTTGATTATCACAGAAAATGGAATTATCTACCCAAACCTATCCTACCATACAAGAAATACCATACTCAATAGTTGTGACAGATAAAAAACTTCTGCTTTTAAAAATGGAAACCTCATTAGTGTCTAAGGTAGCATATGCCATTGTTGAATTGCTTGTTTAAAGAATTCCATGTAATACCAATTTGTCTAAGGTCTGTGACTTTTTCTCTGCTCTTCAGCTATGCCAGAATATCACTTCAGAACTTTGAAATCAGTAACTCTGTGTCCTTTCTATCCTATTACTCTGATCGACTTCAGATATAATCAGTTTCCTTAGCCTTTTGTTCTGTGATGTTTTGAAACCCTCCCCATCCTGGAAGCTGCTTCTGTATGTGCTTTTAGTTTGTTAGTATTCTTCAAATGAGGCATTCAGGACTGAACACGACATTTCTTGGGTTGATTATTTCAAATTATGGGAGAAAAGGGGATGCAAATTTTAGTAAAATAATCCAGTCAATCAGGAAACAAACACGAAAACAGGCAAATACCAGTAACAAGCCCCAGGAGAGAGAAAGCGGATCAGTACTCATAGTTGTTATGTTTTCTAAAATGTCCAGTCTCCAACAAAGAAATACAAGACATGCAGAGGAAGAGGAAAGTATAATCCATATACTAGGGGAAAAAGCAGGCAATAGAAACTGCCTTTGAGAGTGATCAGATGTCAGATTTTTTTTTAAAAGATTTTATTTATTTATTTGACAGAGAGAGACACAGAGAAGCAGGCTTCCCGCGGAGCAGGGAGCCCGATGCGGGGCTTGATCCCAGGACCCTGGGATCATGACCTGAGCTGGAGGCAGACGCTTAAGGACTGAGTCACCCAGGCACCCCCAGATGTCAGATTTAACAAAGACTTTGAAGTAGTCATTATAACTATGTTCAGAGAACTAAAGGAAACCATGATTAAAGAAGTAAAGGAAGTATCCCAATGATGTATCAAATAGACAATATCAATAAAGAAATAGAAATTATAAAGAAAAATAACTAGGTGGAACTTCTGGAATTGAACAATATACCTGAAATAAAAAATTTACTAGTGGGACTCAGAAGTATATTTGAACTAACAGAAACATGTAGTCCAAAGAACAGAGAAAAAAGAAGGAAGAAAAATGAATAGAACCTCAGGAAAATGTGGGGCACTTAAGCATACCAAACATATGCATGATGGGAGAACGAGGAGAGGAGAGAAAAAAAGGAGCAGAAAAAGTATTTGAAGAAATAATGGCTGAGAAGTTTCCAAATTTACTCAAAAACAGTAGTCCTCCAGGAAGCTCAGTGAATTCCAAATAACCATGCAAGAGATCCACAAATAGATGAATCATATTAAAAATTCTGGAAGACCAAGACAATGGGAAAATCTTGAAACCAGCGAGAGAAAAACAACTTGTCACTTACAAGGGAACCCCAGTAAGATTAACAGCTGACTTCTCAACAGAAACAGAGGAGATAGAAGGCGGTAGGACAACATGTTCAAAATGCTCAAAGAAAGAAAAAACTATCAGTCAAGAATCCTATATCCAGCAAAGCTATTTTTCAAAACTAAGGTGAAATAAAGACATTTACAGATAAGCAGAAGCTGAGAGAATTGTTGCTGGCAGACTCATCTTACAAGAAATACTAAAGGAAGCTCTTTAGGCTGAAAAGTGATCTAGATAGTAATTTGAATCCACACCAAAAAAATCAAAGAGCAACAGGAAAGGTAATTATAAGACAGTCATTTTTCTTCTTCTCTCTTTTGTTGATTTTTTAAAAAGGAAGTGTATAAAACTAATGTATTGTTGGGCCTATAACATATAGAAATGTAATATATATTTTTCATAACAGCACAAAGGAGCTGGATGGGAACAAAACTACACTGGGCTAAAGAAATGACTCCAGATGGCAATTTGAATCCACAGGAACAAATGAAGAAAGCCAGAAGTGATAAGAATTCATATTAATAAAACTTACAAAAATATAATTGCTGTCCTCTTAGCTACTCTAAAAGACATAAAATTATGTAAAGTAATAATTGTAACAATGTATTTTGGGGTTTGCAATGTTTATAAATGTAATTTGTATACAATAATACCACAAAAAGGGAAGAAAAGAAATAGAGCTCTATAGGAGTAATGTTTCTATAGCTAACTGGAATTAAGTTAGTATAAATATGAAGCTATTTCTGTTAAGATGTATATGGTAAGTCCTAGAGTAGCCACTAAGCAAATCACTCAAAAAATAGTGAAAATCATTAAAGAAATTAAAGTGCTGCAGTATAAAACATTCACTTAATGCAGTGATAAAGTCAAGGAGAAATAGAGCAAAAAAGGGCATGAGACATATAGAAATAAGTAAAATGGTATATGTAAATCTGCTGTGTCAATAATTAATGAGATTAGATTTTAAAATGTGAGTGGATGAAACATTCCAGTCAAAGTTGGCGGTTATAAAAGTGGATTAAAAAAAATCAAAAGATAGAAAAAAATTCAAACTAAAAGGAATAAAAAAAAAAAATACAGTGCAAATAGCAACCAAAAGAGAGGTGGAATGGCTTTTTGATATTAGACAAAATGGGTTTTAGGACAAAAATTGCTACTAAAGACAAAGGACATTTTATAGTGATAAAAAGTCAATTGATTTAATGTGTAGCAATTATAAACAGGTGCATTTAACAACAGAGCTCCCAAATACATGAAGCAAAGCCTGCCAGAAATGAAGGGAGACATAGACCAACAGTGATGGTTGAAGACTTAATACCCAACTTTCAACAATGGATAGAACTAGAAAGAAGATAAACAAGGAAACAGAAGATTTGAACAACGCCATAAACCAGCTAGGTCTAACAACTACAAAACACTCAATATTAGAAAATATATTCTTAAGCGCACGTGGAACATTCTCCTCCAGGATAGACTTTATACTAAGCCATTATAAAACAAAAACTTTGTAAATTTAACAGGCTAAGAATAATACAAATATATCCTGTAACTACAGTGGAATGAAATTAGAAATTAATAACAGAAGAATTTGGGAAACTCATAAATATATGGAAATTAAACAGTACACTCCTAAATAATAAATGGTTCAAAGAAGAAATCAAAAGGGGAATTTATACTTGAAGATGAAGATATGATATAACAAAATCTGAGATGCAGCTAAACTTGTACTTAGAGGAAATTTTATTGCTATAAATACCTATATTTTTTAAAAAGAAAGATCTCAAATGAATAACCATCTGCCTAAAGACACTAGAAAAAAAAGCAAATTAAATCTAAAATAGGAGAAAGGAAATAATTAAGATTAGGGCAGAAATGAAAATGAAATAGAAAATAGAAGAATAGAGAAAAATCAATAAAACCAAAAACTAGTTCTTTGAAAAGATAAACAAAATTAACAAACCTTTAGATAGATTGACAAAGAAAAAAAGAAATTACTAGACTCAGAAATGAAAGGACATTTCTATTGATCTTACAAAATAAAGGTTTTTAAAGGAACACTGGGAACAGTTGTATGACAATGAATTAGACAACTTTGATGAAATGGGCATATTCTTAGAAATACACAGACTACTAAAACTGACTCAAATAAATAATCTGAATAAACTGTATCCAAGAATAGGGATTAAATTACTAATAAGAAACTATTGTGGTGCCTGGATGGCTCAGTCAGTTAAGTGTCTGCCTGCGGCTCAGGTCATGATCCCTGGGTCCTGGGATTGAACTCTGCATCAGGCTCCCTGCTCAGAGGAGATCCTGCTTCTACCTTTCCCTCTGCTGCTTTCCCTGCCTGTGTGTGCACACTCTCTGTCAAATAAATTAAAAAAAAAAAAAAAAAACTTAAAAAAATAAAAATAAAATTCCAGAAAGGAATAAAAAAAAAGAGAAAGAAAGAAAGAAACTACTGACAGGGGTGCCTGGCTGGCTAAGTGGGTTAATGGGACTCTTGATCTCGGGTTGTTGGGTGTAGAGATTACTTAAAAATAAAATCTTAGAAAAGAAACCACTGATAAAACCCTAGGTTGAAATGGCTTCACTGGAGAATTTTACCAGTTTAAGAATTAACCAATTCTTTAGAAACTCTTCCAAAAAATAGAAGAGAGGGACACTTTTCAACCCATTCTTTGAGGCCAGTATTATCCTAATCCAAAACTAAAGACATCACAAGAAAAGAAAACTACAGACTAATAATATCTCTTATTATTTTTGAGGACTTTTACAGCAGTCCTCAAAAAAATGCCAGCAAACCAAATCCAGCCACATAAAAATTAGTGTATACCATGACCAAGTGGGATTAATCCAGGAATGCAGGGTTGGTTTAACATCTGAAAATCAATTAATATATAAAGTATCATTAGAATAAAAAACAAAATCACATGATCATCTCAGTAGATGAAAAAGCATTTAAAAAAATCCAATAGTCTTTCATTATGAAAAATACTCAACAAACTAGGAGTAGAAACTTGTTCAACCTGATAAAAGGCATCTGCAAAAAACCCACAGCTAAACTCAGACATGATGGTAAAAGATTGATGCTTTCTCCTAAGATCAGGAACAAGACAAGGATGTCTGCTCCTAGTAGTTTTGTTTTTTTTTTTAAGATTTATATATTTGAGAGAGCGAAAGTGAGT